CTGAAGCTCCTTAAGCTGAAGTATCCCACGTTTCCTGGCAAGATTAGCGATAACCAGGCGGAAGACCTCGTTCGCGAGCATTGCTATATATCACAAAACTACGAAGAAGAACTAAGTCATTACCTGGACTGGACAGGTCTCGAGGATCGAGACCATACCGTACAATTTCCCTATACAGAAGCGATTGTGATACAGAAGACGGAGGAGGAACTTGCAGCTGCAGCAGAGAAACGTAAAGAGAGTGGCCGGAGATTACAAGCTCAAGCGGCAAAGATGCGCTTGGAAAAGCTCAAGAGGAAGGAGGAGGAATTGGAGTACTATATACAGCTGCAAGCCCAACTCGAGGAAATCACTACCAAAAAGGAGAAGGCGCGTGTGTTAGAATCCAACGATTTCGACGATGAGAATCAGCTCAACAAGAGGGTCAAGGAGCTGGAGGCATCGATCAAGAAGACCCGTAACAAAGACCTGGGGGATGTCGATGAGGAGCAACAAGAGGAGCCGACGTTTCCCCTGCTCGATATACCTGATGACCAGCTCGACGAGGAAGGAATCAAACAGAAGCGACAACAGAGACTAATGAAGTCAAACTACGATGCACGACAACGCGCGAAGATTGAGAAGGAGAAGGAGAAGGCACGACAAGCAGAGGAGCAACGTCTTGATGATGAGCGACGAGAGACCGACCCTCAGGGCTGGATCGATGAGCGTAAGATGGCGCGCCAAGCGATTATCCAAAAAATGAAGGATCGCGAACGCATGAAGGCCGAACTAGGGAACAGAAAGTCCGTCGCCAATCAAATGCGCATGAAGTCGATTGCCAATCTCGCCTCTGACAATCCGACCAAAAAGCGAAGAAGAGGTGGGGGGGACGACGACACCTTTGGCGCCGACGACGCAGACTGGGGCGTATACCGCACCATTGCCACCGGCGAAGGCTCCGACGACGAAGAAGAGGAAGATCTTAACAAGAACCTCAAAGAAATTGAATCCCAACTCCTCAAGCACGACCCCAATTTCACTGAGGACTCTACACGCGAAGCACAAACCGATTGGACCAAGAGTATCCTCCACGCTTTCCTCCACGGCCCGTATCCCTTTGACCCAGAATCGCAACGGGAAATCAATCAAATCCACCTCAACGTCGAACGCATACGCGTGCCAGAAGTAGTCTTCCAGCCCACCATTGCCGGACTCGATCAAGCCGGCATCGTGGAGATTGCCTCGAACATCCTGACCGAGCGGCTAGGCGACTCTCCCCACCGCGACGACATCCTCAAGGACATCTTTTTGACGGGTGGCAACACGCTCTTCCAGGGCTTCGAGGAGCGACTGAGAGCAGAGCTGCGTGCTGTGTTGCCGGCCGAACAGAGTATCAATGTGAGGCGGGCAAAGGACTCGGTGCTCGATGCGTGGAGAGGTGCGGCGCAGTGGGCGAGCAGGAAAGATGCCAAGAGGGATTTTATCACGCGGGCGGAGTTTTTGGAGAAAGGCGGCGAGTATATCAAGGAGCATGATATGGGGAATACTTTTTATTAGGGAGTAGGTTTTTCTTTTCCAACATTCAATTGGTCTGATATGGTTATTGCCTGTGTGTGTGCTGTACTACTGTGGACACGAGTTTTGGAAAGTTTTGCTTATTGAAGGGAAAACCCTTTGGCGGAAGAGATGGAGAAATGTAATGTCAATGCATGATTTTCTGTGCTTCTTCCCTGTGTCTCTCTCCCTCTCTCTGTGGTGGTGTGTGTGTTGTCATGTTTGCCCTTGCGTCCATGCAGCCTTTTTTCCACTCATAAATTCTGGCCCTATTAGGCCGAAAGGTTCGTTCTTCCATGGTCAATTTCGAACCAGTCCTTGGAAGCTGACTTTCTTCGCATTTGTGACGATGATACGGGGTTTGCGCAGTACTGCTGCATTGACCACACGTCCTTTGCAGTGTGAGGAACTGTGTTTTTGATCCAACCATCACCGACCGTAAGCATCCATCACATTGCAATCTTCTAATCGAAACTTTGGCAATTTTTCTTTTCAGAGTTTTCCAATGCATTACATTATAGAGTATCATGACTCTTAAGAAATCTATACCCTCTTGCGCCATCCCCTTCTATTACAGATTAAAACCTAATGGCAACCAAAAATTCCAAAACCAAAGCTAATCAAAGTGACTTTCGACGATCCTCCTCAAAGTGCTTACAAGCCAGCAAATATGAGACCCATGAATCCCACACCTCCAGCCAGCATGGCGTTCTGCACGTTGACAACAGCAGCAGCGCCAGTGTATTCGGGGGGTGATACAGGGGCAGAGGGCGCAGGGGGCGCAGGAGACGCAGGAGGTCCAGGAGGTCCAACAACTGTATTGTGCATGGTGGTAGGTTTTCCTGCATCGTTCGTGCTAGTGACAACAATGACACTGGTCACAGGAGTTGGGTGCACATGAGTGCTGGTGGTGTTGTACGAAGGCACGGTGCTGTTCGCGGGCGGCGGGACAGGGTAGTGAGAGGACATGGGGTAACCGGAAGACACGGGGTAACCAGAAGTCACAGGGTATCCAGAGGAGACAGGGTAAGGGGTAGGCTTGACGTTGTTGCAGACGTCGGCTTCGAAAACGAGGTATGCTGCATTGTCCTCGGCGGAGCAGGCTGCCTTGATCTTGGCCTCGATGTCGTGGGCCTTGAGCTCGTCGCAGATGCAAGGGAAATCAGTAGGGCTGCACTTGCTGTCTTGGAGGCAGTCAAAGATGATGGTTTGCTAAATTTTGGATTAGAACATGGGCCAAGAGGTATCATCTGGAGGCAAAAGGTAACGTACAGAGCACTGGGCAAGTCCCTCGATGGGGCCAATGATGTCGCCACCTGCGTGCTGTGCAGAGCTAGTCATAGTGAGGAAGCTGGTGACGGTCAAAGCCGAGGTGACAACCTGAGTGGTGAATGAAGGCATGTCCGAAGAAGGCAAATGGTGTGGAGTAGGAGCTGAGTAGTGTTGAGACAAAGCTGGAGAGGCTGCTGCGAGCAAGACACTGGAGATGTAGATGCGGTTCTGCATATTGCCTGAGATTTGAGCGAAAGATATACGTTTCAACGAGTGAATTCAAATTCCAGAAAGAAGTGAGTGATACCAGACAAAGCCGCGCGCAGGTCTGCACCTTATACAGGCTGGCGGAAGAATGCCTATCAGCGTGGCCGTTTGCAGGAGGCCGTTCATGATGCGGAAGTTCACGATGGGTTTTGATGTTCAAAAATAAATGCGGGCCGGATCCGGGACATACTCTTTGTTCCTGGCGAGGTTTTGTACGAAGTTGGTAGGTTTGGAGCCTCATGTCCGGATTCGGAAGGGTGCTGTGGAATGTAACCGTTACCCAAGTGAGCGGCCACCTTCCCAGCCACCTCCCGATGCCGTTTAGTCTTTTCTATTTTGGAAATCTCGCCGAAATACTTGTGGCGTTCAGCGAGATATTTGCTGTATGTTCGCAGTCGTCGTGGACGTAGTGTGCGGATTCGAAGGTTTTTTTCTCCACGTCGAACATGTCGAACGCGCCCTTCTTCTACCAACAACTCTTTTTAGAGGTTACCGTACCTATGCAAGCTCGCCCTCGGTGTTGCCCTGGGCGATAGAGCTTCTGCTCGTACGGACTGCGGCTACGCTTTATGTCGAGAGCATGCTACTCCTGAAGAGAATCTTCCAACCAGCGAATGATACGGCTCACATCTCGTAGCTCATAGAAGCATTCATGATGTGCTCTGGCATAACTTATCGCGCGTGATAGATCGTCCGTAGCGCCTTTCTTCGGATCAGGCTGGTTTGCCAGCAGCTGTTCGTAGTACGGGTTGCAACGCTCGCGTTGTCGCCTCGGATTGATGGTCATGTATTCCCAGTACCTGTATGCTAGTACGTATGGATCTTTCTGCAGTGGAGGTAGCCCTGCCATGCTGGATGCTGGGGGTTAGTTTCCGTGAGCTTAGAGTAGTTGATGTGGAATGGTATTCAGTATATTAAAGGTGGGTGGGCATGTTGCATGTCGTCAACACTCGGGCGTTCGACTCCTCATTGTTTGTGAGACATAAGCAGCAGAATAAACAAAGCCTTGCCTTGGTAATTCATTATTTCTGAAACTCCGGATTCTGTTGTTCAAGCATGCAGGGCCGCTGCGAAAAGTCACAATGTCAACGAGGTACATGGCCATGATTCAAAAACGCCAGTTGATCGTTTCGCGTGTTGAAGCAACGACGTACATATGACTGGCGAATATAGGTACTTTTTTGTTGCGAACTTGCTCAGTTAGATTCATTGCTAGGAAGCTTCTCAGATACCAGTGAACCTGAGAGATTCAATGCGACATGTGTGGCTCTGGTCCACTGTGCTGATAAGTGAACGTTGTATCAAAGAACTTGTGGGCCGGAAACGCATGTGGAATAAGGAATATTGATAAATTTTGTGCATGCGAAATCGGTAACGGCGATGTTAAATCTTCACAATATACACTATGTTGTGATAACACGATGTGTTGTGATGTGATGGATAGAGGATAGAGCTGAGCGATTGAGAGGAGCAAATGGGACCCTTGCTCAGCCAGTCTTTCGATTGCGGACTAGCGTCGCGCTAGCACAGAATTTCATTCTTATCTCGTTTTTCCCAAGCTTCGCAAGCTACGGACAACACAGCAAACTCCAACATGGCGTCCAAGTCGTGAGTACTCCCCAGTAAAACGTGCTTTGTCTTATGGACAGACACTCCCTGAATATTCGATAATTCTAGGGCCCTGTGCTGACTTGGCTTCCCAGCAGTGTGCCGACGCAGAATGACATTCTGATTCCTGAGACGCTGCTGAAGAAGCGGAAGTCTCAGGAGAAGGCTCGCGAGGAGCGCGCGATTGCCACGAGAGAAAAGAGAGGTACGAACATAACTCCATACCATGGATGAGTGCGAGAGGGCGATTGTGATGATGAAAACAACCACACTATCGGCTAGACTACGGTCCATGTTGTCGAACTGTTAACCATCTTTCGGGACTGATACAATCACCCTTTGAGCCATTCATGGTAGATTATGCGATCAAGTGCCATGCTGACATGGAACAGAGAAAGCCAAGAAGAAGCGCGGCGTCATCTTTACGCGAGCTGAAAAGTACGTGAAGGAATATCGCGACGCCGAGAAGGAGCGGATCCGGTTGTCACGCGAAGCCAAGAAGAGCAACAGTCTATATGTGCCAGCGGAGAACAAGCTTGTGTTTGTTGTGCGCATCAAGGGAATCAACAAGATTGACCCGAAGAAGCGGAAGACACTTCAGCTGTTGCGCCTCCTGCAAATCAACAATGGCGTCTTCATCAAGCTTACCAAAGCGACCATGGAGATGCTGAAGATTGTAGAACCATTTGTGGCGTACGGCTATCCGAATCAGAAGTCGGTGCGCGAGCTCATCTACAGTAGGTGCCTTGTGATTCCTGCTCTCGACCGTGCTAACCTGCCTGTGCAGAGCGCGGATACGGTAAAGTGGACAAGCAAAGGCTACCGTTGACGGACAATGAGATCATCGAGGAGAACCTTGGCAAGTATGGGATCATCTGTATGGAGGATCTCATACATGAGATTTACACGGTGGGACCCAACTTCAAGCAAGCCTCGAACTTCTTGTGGCCCTTTCAGCTGAACAACCCGAATGGGGGATTCCGCAAGAGGAAGTTTAAGCATTTTGTTGAGGGTGGTGACCTGGGCAACCGGGAAGATCAGATCAACGAGCTGATTAGGCAGATGAACTAGTTGCTTTGTAGAGGGTGGAGTTTGAGGTTGGTTTTGCATTTTCTGCGGAGGTGGGGAAGCCATGTCCGGATTATACCCACGGCCTGGGATCAGCATTTGCATGGGCGTTTTTGGGGATTCGTTAGGGTTAGGATGAATGTCATGTGAAGAGGGCGTGTCATGATGATTGACTTGATGAAGAGAAGACACGTGATGGATCAAGAGAAGACACGTGATGGATCAAGAGAAGACACGTGATGGATCAAGAGAAGACACGTGATGGATCAAGAGAAGACACGTGATGGATCAAGAGAAGACACGTGATGGATCAAGAGAAGACACGTGATGGATCAAGAGAAGACACGTGATGGATGAAGAGAAGACAAACGTGATGGGGTTTGTGTATACTCAATTGTACCGTTAGCGTAGTGTACAAACTGGGAAGAACCTACTCTACTGTACAATCATGGGGGGCGCAGCAGATGACACGGGGTGAGCAGGACAGGATGCAGAAACGACGAGGAGTAGGAGTAGGGAGTAGAGTAGAGTACTCTACTAGAGTAGTAGGGGGAACTACTCTGGACGTACGGTAGGTACCGTGTTTGGGCAGGCATGACGGACAGATGGGGCCTGAAATCTCTGCGGCGTGAAGGATACCGGTATTGTAGTAGTATGCAGTCTACTAAGATCTGGCTTCTTGATGACTGTATTTTCACTCTAGTGCATCCTGGCCTGCTGGTTTTGCGAGGGCCATTGTCAAGGAAAGGACAAGGGGTGCAGTAGTGAGTGGTGGTACTAGAGTTGGAGTAGGATTGTACCGTAGAGTACTTGGTCTCTTGGTCAAAGGGTTGGACAGGGGAAATACGAATGGATGAGGTGAGGGTGGTGAGGGAGTTGTGCAGACTTAGGTTGGCGTATGTGTGGGTGTGGGTGTGGGTGTGGGTGGGTGGAGGGTAGTAGATGGGATGGAAGGGCAGGTGGCAGGTGGCAGGTGGCAGGTGGCAGGTGGCAGGTGGCAGGTGGCAGGTGGCAGGTGGCGGGTTGGGCAGGTTGCAGTTTCCGCACACGAGAGGGCAATTTCACTCAGGTTGATTGCGGATGATGACGGCCCCTCAACGCCCCTCGCCCTCCCAGGCCCCCGCATTGCATCGCCACTCGGCCCAAAGGTCAAAGGAAGATGACGAAGACGATGACGATGCTGATGCTAATGCTGATGCTGGTGATGGTGATGGTGATGCAGATGGCGATGCAGACGATGATGATGATGGTGATGCAGATGGCGATGCAGACGATGATGATGATGGCGTCGCCCGCATGTTTTGGTCGGGTGGTTGCACCCACACCCACCCACAACCTAGAGTACCTACTCTACTCTACTACCTACTGCTACTGCGACTGTTGGGAAGTACTGTAGAGTGTGTAGAGTACTCTAGTACCTTCGTATCTAGTTGACTGGTGCAGGTGGTATGACGCTGACCATGTGACTGACGGGCCCGACCACCGATACTCAGTCAGCCTACTGTACAGTATACACAGTAGGCAGCGACCGCCATTTCTTCACAGGTACAAGGTCTTCTTTCGTCACTCAAAGAGCCTGGCTGGTGCTGGGCTGGGCTGGGCATCGGATTTTGCACTTGTGCAGTGTGCCCAGGTCTTCCCTCATCCGGCGCCCTCTCTACGGCAGCAGCACCGACTGCGCCCGTGGGTCACAACAGCACCCCTGCTGGGCGGGCAACGGCAGACCACATGGCATAGTAGTACTATCACACGGCAGTAGTAGTAGTAGTAGTAGCAGGAGTAGAGATTCTGCGTTTCAATAGAGTACCATGGTCATCGTCATAGTATGTACGTACACGGTATTGTAGTAGGTTATCGTAGTGGTCATGGTAGGTAGTCATCACTCTGTAGTACCCCATAGTACTATACAGTAGCAGTCTCTTGTCCCAGGCCAACCTTCCCAACGGCCGCGCCTGGGAAGCTCATGCGGACACGAGTGCGCTGACATGAAGGCAGCTGGGCAGGAAGCAGTATGAAACACAACCCAAGAAGAGCGGACTGTCATGGCTGTGCTGGGCGGTGCAGCCATTTGGTGGAAGTCATGGTGGAAGTTATGGTGGTGCACATAATATATGTGTGTGAACGGTCCACTTCTATATTTATTGGGGATGTTGGGGATTCGGGGGACTGGAGGGCTCGGGGCAAGTGACCAAGGTCGGGTTGGCAACTTCAAACTTCAAATGACCCGCACGGATGAGCCAGGCCAGACATGGAACTTGCACAAGTCTTGCAGCAGCAGCAGCAGCAGCACCACCACCACCACCACCACCGCCATCACCACCACCACAGAAGAGCGGAGCAAGGCCGAGTGTAGTTAGCGACGGCGAACCGCCCAAAACCCACCTGCGGTACATACGTGGCTCGCTCAGACGGAAAGGCAGAGGCCAGCAGAGATCCCCCCCCCTTCCCTCCCCCCCAAAGGCCAAAGGCCGCCCGAAATACTTTCGTGGAGAGAGTCATGAGGGTGTTTTGGAAGAATGGTAGACGGGAGGTATTTTTCAACCATGGACTCTAGACTACATAGAAGAAGCAGAATTTGATCAGGCCTCAGCCTCGTCTGACGAATGACGGGCTGGCCCTAACCGCAGAGTAATTGAACGGACTCCACGCACCGCCGCCTTCACCCAGCCCTTTTTTGACTTGAGGGTCGCTAGCCGAACCAGCCAACCAGCCAAGACACCGCCCACCACGCCTGCCTGACTGGCTGGCTGGCTGGACGGGGCCTTGTTCCAAAAGAAGTCCAGTCTTTTGCGTGCCGGGCGGCCGCACACACACACACACACACACACACACGCACACACACATGAACTGAGAGAGAGAGAGAGAGAGAGACAGAGACGGGGGCCCTCGCGACCCTTCCCTCCCTTTCCTT